TTTCTCTGAAGGCTGTGGGACTCAGGACCAGAGCTGACACTCATACAAGGAGACAAAAAAATGCCATGATGCCCACCCCCCCACCCCCTGCCATGAGTCAGGGGAGGTTGCAGAAGACATTATCGTGGTCCAATCTGATTTGTAATGGGTGCAAAGTGTCCAGGCCCACCCTGTGGTCATTTCCTTGCTGTTTGAGGTATATCAGGATGGATGGCTGTACTTAGCAGGAGTAAGAGCCACAATGGTAGGAAAGGCCAAGGGGAAGCCTTTAAAACCACCTACTCCCATGGCCAAAATTGTCCAGCAAAACATACTGTGTGCCAGTGCAGTGTCAGGGCTTAGAGCCACCTTCAAAACTGTGACTCACCCGGACGACCTCAGCAACAGATGGGTCAAAAATGAAATGCTTAGATATAAATCCAACAAAATATATACAAAACCTATTAGAGAAAAACTGCATAACTCTGATGAACAAAATCAAAGAAGATAATACTAAATGGAGAGATATTTCATCTTCATGGATAGAAGACTCAGTATGTCAGGATGTCAGTTCTTCCCAACTTGGTCTATAGATTCACTGCAATCCCAACCCCAGCAATTTATTTTGTGGATATCAACAAATTGATGTAATGTTTATATGGAAAGAAAAAAGACCCAGAAGGCAACACAATATTAAAGTAGAAGAACAAAGTCAGAGGACCGACTCTATCAGACTTCAAGATTTACTATAAAGCTACAGTAATCAGGACGGCAAGAGACTAGACACATACATCAATGGAACAGAGTAGAGAGCCCAGAAAGAGACCCATATATGCAGTCAACTGACCTTTGACAGAGGAGCAAAGGCAATACAATGGCGCCAAGGTGGTCTCTTCCACAAATGGCGCTGGAATCACTGGACAGCCACGTGACAAAAATGAGTCTAGACACAGACTTTACACCCTTAACAAAAATGAGCTCAAAACAGACCAGACAGCAAAATGTAAAGCATAGAACTATAAATCTCCCAGAAGGCAACACGGGAGAAAACCCAAATAACCTTGGGTATGGCATTGACTTTTTGACACAACGCCAAAGGCATGAAAAAAGCAGTGGATAAGCTGGCTGTCACTGAAATTAAAAACCTTCACTCTCTGAAAGACAATATCAAGAGAATGAGAAGACAAGCCACATAATGGGAGAAAAAATTTGCAAAACACACACCTGATAAAGGACTGTTATCTGAAATATGCAAAGAACTCTTAAAACTCAACAAGAAAAGAAACAACCCGACCAAAAAGTGGGCCAATGGCCTTAACAGACAGCTCACCAAAGAAGATATGCGGATGGAAAATGAGCATCTGAAAAGATGCTCCACATCATAGGTCATCAGGGGAAATACGAGTTAATGTGAGGTGCCACTACACCCCTATCAGCATGGCCAAAATGCGGAACTCTGACAACACCATGCTGGCGAGGATGTGGAGCAACAGGAACGCTCATTCGTTGCTGGTGGGAATGCAACACGGTGCAGCCGCTCTGGAAGACAATGTGGTGGTTTCTTGTACAACTAAACATACTCTCACCATACGATCTAGCAATCATACCCCTTAGTATTTAACCAAAGCAGCTGAAAACTTACGTCTACACAAAAACCTGCATGCAGATGTTCATAGCAACCTTCCTCATAGTTACCAAAACCTGGAAGCAACTGAGATGTCCTTCAGTAGGCGAGTGGATAAATAGACTGTGGTCCATCCAGGCAATGGAATATTATTCAGACTTCAAAAGAAATGAGCTATCAAGCCATGAAAACACGTGGAGGAAGCTTAAATGCATATTATTAAGTGAAAGAAGCCAATCTGAAAAAGGCTACATACTGTATGCTTCCAACTCTATGACATTCTGGAAAAGGCAGAACTATGGAGACAGCAAAAAGATCAGTGATTGCCAGGGTTTGCGGTAGGGGTAGGGATGAATGGGTGGGGCACAGGGGACTTTAGGGCAGTGAAAATGCTCTGTATGATACTATAATGGTGGACACATGTCATTATACGTTTGTCCAGACCCATAGAATGTACGGCACCCAAAGTGAGTCCTAATGTAAACTCTAAACCTTAGATGATTAGGACACGTCAGTGTAGGCTCATTAATTCCAGCAAATATAACATGCTGGTCGGGGGTGTTGACAGTGGGGAAGACTACATACCGGTAGGGGTAGGGGGTGTATGGGAAATTTCTGACGCTTCCTTTCAATTTTGCTAAGAACCTAAACCTGCTCTAAAAATGTGTCTTAAAAAATAAAAACTCAGTGGGATTGTGGTGACTGGCAGTGGATTACATAAACCGAACCAAGTCGTACCCTGCAACCCAGGTGCTGTACTTTGTGGTTTCTTTAGTAGAACAGACAGCACAGCCTCTGGGACGTGCTAGGTGACTACTGATCTGGGAAATGCATTCTCTTCAACCCCCTTTAGAGAGGAGGGCCTTTATCATTGGGACATCCTGTAGAACGTCACTCTGGTTCACCGTTTTGATTACATCCTGCGAAGAAGACCTGGGGGCATTAGCTAGCAGTTCGCTGGATGCCTTGTTAGACATATTCATCCCAAAGTGCGGAGGGTAAGTGACTTGGAAGGTTGTGGGTTCCGAGTGGGGTCAGAGCCCAGCTGGGCTCTCCAGCAGGTGCAGGTGCAGGTGCTGGTGGGACCCGGGGAGAGTGGGCAGCGCGTGGCATCTCTGGAAACCCTAACGTGGTCGTGGAGGTGATGGAGCGGGACCACGTCATCTGCAGCCTCACTGCTCAGCACAGTGTCTACCATGATGCGCAGCCCTGGCAGAGAACGAGGCCCTGCCTGCGAGACCCCAGCGGACCGTGTGCTCCAAGCTGCCCATCGGGAGCCACCTGGTACAGGGTCCTCACCTGTGCCACGAGGCAGGAAAAAATGATGAAAAGATATGAACACTGGAAAAGAAGGAGTGAAAATGTTGTTATTCATAGACGACTTGATCGCATAGAAATTCGCAAAGACTCTACAAAGAAACTACTAGGTTTGCTTATAGAGAAGAGTTAGCTATAAATCTATATATTAAGAATCACTATTGGAAATGAAAATTTAAAAATACCATTTACAGGGCTTCCCTGGTGGCGCAGTGGTTGAGAGTCTGCCTGCCGATGCAGGGGACACGGGTTCGTGTCCCGGTCCGGGAAGATCCCCCATGCTGTGGAGCGGCTGGGCCCGTGAGCCATGGCCGCTGAGCCTGCGCCTCCGGAGCCTGTGCTCCTCAACGGGAGAGGCCACAACAGTGAGAGGCCCGCGCACCACGATGAGGAGTAGCCCCCCCTCATGGGCAGTTGGGGAAAGCCCACGCGCAGCAGCGAGGACCCAATGCCGCCAAAAATTAATAAATTTATACATAAAACAAAACCCCAGACACCTGGGAATACATCACATAAAAGATGCGTAAGACCTCTACGCTGAAAACTGGAAACACGGCTAAGTTTAATTTTAAAAGACCTAAATTAATGTTCGTGAACAAGAATTTGTAATATTTTAATAGTTTCCATTGTCCTTAACTTGATGTATAGATTTAGTGCAATTCCCACCAAAATTCCAGTAAGCTATTCTGAGGAAATAGACAAGATGACTAAAATTTATATGCAAATTCAAAAGATCTAGGATAGGAAATACAATCTTTAAAAGGGAGAATGAAACTGGAGGACGTGCACTACGTGATTTCAAAACTCTCTATAAAGCTGATGTACTTAAGACGGTGTGGTGTGGACATAAGGGCGGATAAATTGAGCAACGAACGGGAACAGAGGCGGAAGGAGGCCTGCACCCATGGTCAGCTGGCAAAGGGGCCGCGTCAACTAGATGCGAAGGAAGGGCTACTTAACAAACATGGCAAAGACTGGGTATCAGCCTGGATAAAAATGAACCTCGCCCCCTTCTCGCCTCCACGGACAAAGTCAACGTGAGGTGGGTCATAAACCTCAGCATTAAACCTGACACCACAAAGTTTCTAGAGGAAAACATGGGAACAGATCCTCGGGACCTCAAGGGAGGCAGAGGTTTCCTAGGGAGGATCCAAACAGCACAGACCATAAAAGAAACACAGGAGCAAGTAGGACCTTAAAAGTGGGATTGCAGACCCTCTGGCCTCTCAGCTCCTGCGCTGATCACAGCTACCCTGTGACAGTGTCTGGGTCGCCCTATCAGTGCCATCTCTCCCAGTGGCTGTGAGCACCACGGGGCAGCGGGCCTCGGGTCTGCTCAGAGCCCCACCCCAGTGCCCAGAGCTGTGTCCAGCGCCCAGCTGGGTGAGCAACGGGCTGGAGCCAGGCCAGCCCCAGCCCTCCACAGAGACACAGGGCTGCATGGGGTGGGTGCCCATCTCGACCAGAGGGAGCAATGGCGTGCATCCTAGAGGTTCTGCGTGAGGACCTGGACGTGTGGATGTGAGGACCTGGACGTGTGGACATGGCTGTGGCTGCAGCACACGCTGCTCTGGCCTGGCCTGACCCTTCCCAGGAAGGAGAGGCGAGGGAGCCTGGCATAGGCAGAAGCCAGTGAGGGGCAGGAGCGAAGGGACAGGGGTCAGGGGGAGCCAGGCAGAGGAGGGGGAGGGGCTGGGGGCTGCAGAGTGGCCCCAGGGCTGCGACTCCCAGACGCTCCGCGCCTGCGGTAGCTTGCGTGCCTGCGGTGTGCCCTGGAGTCTTCAGGGCTCGAGTCCTGGCTGTTTGCTCTTGGACATCTTGGTGCCCTAGTCCCGCGACCCTGCAGGCCTTCCGTGGAGGTCGTACGTGAGGATGTGTTTTGCAGGTTCAAGGTCTGGGCCCAGGGTGTGCAGTGTCAGAGCGCCCGGCCCAGCTGACGGTCACACACCCCATCCTCCAGCCCTGGGGAGGCCCGGGCGAGGATCCGCTCCCTGAGCTTCCCGCAACAGAGGTGCAGTCAGGGAGCGGGGGGCCTTCCTGCCAGACTCCTCCACAGCCCGGCCCCACACAGTGAGGACAGATGACCAGCGGCTTCTTTATTGAACATTCACAGGTCAGTGACCTATGGGGACGGCCGCTCGCTGGGGAGGCGCTGAGGGTCCAAACAGCCCACATCCAGGAAGCTCCACTCGGAGGGGTCGGGCCCCTGCCCGGCCCTGCCCCTCCCCCCTTCACCCGGGCTGGGTCAGCAGCTGTCCTGTCCCTGTCCCCCTGGCAGAGTCTGTTTGCCCCTGGGCTCCCACCCCCAGTCACTGCGTGAGCATGGGACAGGCAGCCGGGTCACAGCTTGTTCCGGGGGCAGCGCTGCAGGGCCTCCTGCAGGGCCCCAATCACTCGGTCCACGTTCTCCCGGGAGGCGTTACAGCCCAGCAGGCCGATCCGCAGCACCTAGGGCGGGGGCGGGGCGCAGACGTCAGCCTCTGTCTGGGGTCCTGCCTGGCTGTGACTGAGGCCAGGGCAGAGCCAGCTGGTGTCCCCCTGTGCGGGAGGAAGTGGGTGGGAGGGTACACGTGGCCTAGGTCACTCCCCGTACAGCCCCCGGGGTTCAGAGAAGGTGCTCCCTTCCTGACGCCCTGCTGTCCCGGGTCCGCAGACGACTGCTGACCTCGGCCTGCACGTGGTACACTCAGCACAGAAGGCCCCCCTCACCTTCCCCACCGAGGGCCCGAGGCCGCCCGTGATCTCGATGCTGAAGTGGTCCATGACGTAGCTGACGAGGTCTCTCCAGTCGTAGCCCGCAGGTGCGGCCACGGTGGTGACGGTGGGCAGACGGATCGCCTGCAGGACAGGCCGGGCTCAGCCACCTCGTGCCATCACAGCCAGCTCCACCTGCCCTGGCCTGGCCAGCCCTGGACGCAGGCTCCAAAGGGGCGGGCAGGGGTGCATGTGGGGGACGGAGAAGGGGCCCCAGGAGAGCGAGGTCACCACCGCCCCAGGAGCCACGCCTACCAGCTGGTGCTCAGGGCAGGGCTTCCAGCCTCCAGGGACCCCTCTGTGTGTCTGTTCTCTGACAGGCCACAGGCTGGCTTATTCAGCTGACCCCCTACCCCCAGCCCCTCCAGGATGGTGTCTGGCTGGCGTTCTGGAGGCCGATGGGCGTCCTCCAGCTCAGGGAGCACCCATAACTACTCCAGACGGAGAGGCTCTGGGGGAGGTGGAGGCATCCTACTAAATGTCCTGAGATCCGGAGGCCAGGAAACCGTGACCATGACGGGGACTGCGCCCCCATCCCCAGGACTGCCCCTGCCCCCACCAGAACTGCATATCCATAAAGGGGGCTGGACAGGAGCTCGTCCTCCCCCCACTGCCATGTGATGCCCTCTGCCCCCGCCCTCCTCACCGGATCCTTCACGAAGAGCTGCAGGCCCAGCCCCTGCAGGCGCCCGTGCAGGTACTCTGAGGCCTCGCGGTGCTGCTGCCAGCTCTTCTCCAGGCCCTGGGTGGGGAGAGGGCAGTGGGGTGGGCAGGGTGGGCTGGGGGCCCTCCTCGGTGGGCAGAGAGGGAGAAACTGGCTGGCATCCACCGGGGGGGGGGCAACTTTGGCCGGGGGAGGGGCTCCTCTCTTGGCCTGGACCCTGAGCGCCTCGGGAGCCCCCTGGAGCCCCAGGTTCAGGGCCCTGACTCTGCCCCAGGGGCCGGGCCCGGGCTACCTCAGGGAGGTGGAAATAGTCTGGGTCTGGGAGGGGGACGTGGTGGCCCAGCCGGTTGTTGGATCCTCCAGGCCCCTGGGAGGGGTGGGGACGACCTGGCCAGAGGTGGGGGGCTGCCTGGGGGCAGAAAGGCTTCTGGGCTGCACGCTGCCTCCTGCCCTCCCAGCCGCTGAGCCCACAGTCCCTACTCCACGGGGGTCCAGCCTCTCCGGCGGCACAGCTCCCAGCCGTGGCCCAGTCCCCTGCCCTGCAAGCGTCAGCTCCTGGCCTCTCTCTCGGCTGCACAGGTGACCACCCAGCCCATGGGACACCTCGAGTCTAGCCCAGCCCATGGGACACTACCATGTCCCACCCAGCCCATGGGACACTAGCCCAGCCCTGGGCCGGTGGCGACGTGGGTGGACGCAGGGGGCAGACGTGGCCAGCGCAGCACTGCAGCCTTGCTGGAGGCAGGTCTTGGCCCAGGTCTCTCCTGGCCTCTGGACCGGCAGCTGGCAGGGCCCCTGGGGGCCGTCCTGGGGCTGTGTTTCCTGGCCTGGGCCAGACTTGGCCTCCTGGGTCCCGAGAGTGTGGACCTTGCACTGGGCCAAGGCACCACCCTGGTCGTGGTCACACCCAGCTGTCCCCACGTGGCTCCTGCCCACACCCGGGAGCGGGTAGTGGCCGAGGGCACAGCAAAGCCTCCTGACGGTGGTCTCACTCCCCCCCCGCCCTCTGGCTCCACTTCTTGGCCGCCCGCCCTCTCTTCCTCCCACCTGGGCCCTCTGCTCAGCCAGGCCCGCGCTGAGCGCTTCACTAAGAACCTAGGGCCTGGAAGGGGGTCCACACCTGCCCTTTCGCCGCATCTGCCCTCAGGGCTCTGTCCTCCGGGGCCTCTACCCTCAGCTGGCAGCCGGCTCGCCACCCCCCGCGCCCCCCCCATGCCTGCCCAGAGCCTATCCGCCTCCCCACTCAGGGCTACTCTCCAGCAAGGCCCCCAGCACCTCTTCCTTCCTGCGGGCCCCTCAGCAAACCAACTGAGTCTTAGCATCCCTCTCGCCCCCTGCCCCCAATCAGGGAATCTCGGGGTGGGGGCCACCCAGCGGTTCGCCAGCCTCAGCACCTGCCGGGTCCCCGCTCCATGCTGCTCCGCTGCCCCTCCGCTCACCTGCTCTGCTAGATGGGCCAGGCTCTCTCTCAGGCTGTACAGGCTGACGACGGGGGTGGTGTGATGGTATCTGGAAGACAGGAGCGGGTGGCCAGGTCACTGGGCGGGGCCAGGGCAGTGACTGTGTCTCTCCCAGCCCCAGCTGGCCCAGGCTCTCTGACGAGGGGTCGGCCCCCACCCAGGGGAGCGCGGTCCAGCTTGGGGGCTACAGACCTGCAGCCAGATGTGGGGAGAGCCTGGCTCAGAGCAGGGCACTGGCCGGGCTGCGGGGAGAGGCTGACTGGGCTGGAGACCAGGCACTGGCTCCCACCTGTGGCCCCAGTGCCCCGCTGGGCCCGCTGCATAGGGCGCAGTTCCTGGTGTCCCTGTCTACGTGTGTCACGTAAGGGGCCTCGGGTTAGGGTCAAAGCCACCTCACAGAGAGCCCCCTGCCCCCCACTCCCTCTGAGAGATGGGTAAAGCAAGGCCCAGGATTGGGAAGATGTGTCAGGCCAGGTCCAAAGTGCCTGCAGATGCGCTGGGACTTCTGGGAGGAGAGGGCCCATGGAAAGTGGGGTGGGGACCATGCCTGGGGGGCCTGGGAGGAATGGGGGGGACCCCGTTGGGGGCATTGAAGGCCTGGCACTGGTGAATCCCGGGGCTCCAGCTGGGGTGTGAGGGCATGAGGGTGGAGGCTCCCACCCCTTAGCACCTCCCTCCCCCCACCCACCCACCCCCTTTCCAGCCCCGCCCCCTCTCTCACATCCTGGGCTTAGCACCTCCCTCCCCCCACCCACCCACCCCCTTTCCTCCCCGCCCAGCCCCGCCCCCTCTCTCACAGCCTGGGCTTGTCGTCACAGCCCCAGAAGTTGGCCAGCCACTTGATGTCCAGGTAGAAGGAGAAGGGCTTGGTCTTCCGAGTGTAGATCTTATTTCTGGGGAGGAGAATCAGCCTGAATGCCCCCAGCCCCCCGTTGCTCAGAAGTGAGCCAGATGGGTGGGGCCCCCAGGACCCCCGTGTCTGTATTCAGGCCCCTGGGGCCCAGCTGTGCCTCTGCCTCGAGGGTGTGCGCCTGTCACTGGGGGGAGCATTGCAGAGCACGGCCCGAGGAGCCGTCCCTTCCCTTGCTCTGTCCCTCCCTCCTCGGGGCCACCTGGCCTTGCTGCCCGTCCAGCCCTGGCTGGGGGCGGGGCACACTCACTTGGCCTTGTCGCTGAAGGAGATGAGCGAGGTGCCTGCAGGGGCGTTCAGGACCTTCTGGGAGCCCGAGTATAAGACATCGATGCCTGTGGAGGGGAGGGACGCATGCTCAAGGGCCGAGCCCCACGGGGGGGGTCACGGGGGGGCTGCCCAGCCCAGGTCCTGAGAGTCCAGCAGACGTTGCAGGAACCTGGGACCCACCATGCAACTGGTGTCGGAAATGGGAGGGACAGTGTTGGAGGACTAGACCCTTACCCTGTGGGGTCCGACGCTATTGCAGGTGGGCTGAGCTAACTGGAGGGCACCCGTTAGCATCTGCCTGGTGTGGAAAACCCACACGTCTGGGGTCAAGCGCTGGGAGAGAGTGGGGGGCGGCGGAGGGTGGAGCAGCAAACGGGTTTTTCCTTCACATCTTGCAGTGCCCGTCCCCTGGGCTCCCACACAGCCTGAGGGGAGTTTCAAATTATGGGGCAGCAGCAGAGGGCGGTGGTCAAGCCCAAAGCCGGGAGGATGAAGGACCAGGATTCAGATCCAAGCCCTGCACCGTCTCTGACTCCCTGAGGGTGGGGACCCGAGGCAACTGCGTGCCAGGTGCACGGACGGGTGGACCCGGAATGTTCTTTACAGTTCATTCCTAAAGCCTAAAACTGAGCGGACCCAAAGTTCTCCCGAGAGGAAAGGGGTGAAGTGGGGATTCACACAAGCGATGAATACTCAGGACCAGCAACACGAGCGACCTTGCTGACATTAGGTTGACGTCTGCTGACCCACAGGGTCCCGTGGAGGCCGGTGGGGGGCAGCGAAGGCCAGAGGTCCTGAGCCTGGCCCTGCTGCTCCGCGGCCTGGGCCTCAGGCTGGAGCCTCCTTGCCCGGCTTCTCCCTCCACGGCGGGGGCGGCCAGCCTGGAGGCCCAGGATGGGCATCCCGGGGACAGCACTGCCCGCCTGCTCCCATCCCCAGGGCCCCTCTGTGTGCCTGTCCTTTCAGAGCAGTGGTTTGGGGTCAGCCCAGAAGGCTCCCCCTTCAGCACTGGATCCCGCGGAGCAGAGCCCTCTGCAGAGGCAGAAGCGGACCAGGCCAAGTGGGCCGGGCGGCCGTGGACGCAGCACCACCCAGAGTGGAGCCGGGCTTTCCTCCCTGAGGAGATGCTGGGCCTGGAAAGCTTCCCCGGGCTGGCCTGCAGGTGACAATGTCAGCGGTGCTCCCGGTGTGTGACAGGTGTTAGGGGGGTCTCTGCCCTGATTGGCAGGGGTCCTGGCACTGCCCCCACCCCTCCTCCAAGGCTCTGGGTGCCTCTCCAAATGCCTCCCCTGGAGGGTCCCTTCCTCCCGCCTGCCGCCCGGTCCCGGCCCGACGGCCCAGCAGAAACACGGGGTGTGGCCAGTCTATGGAGCGTGTCCTGCCCCATGAGGAGCTGGTGGCTCTCCCACGCCTCGTGGAGACCAGCGCCTAATCCGTATGCAGCCGACGGACACGCAGGCCCTGGCACAGCACACCCCCAGCCAGGGCTTCTGACGCTTCGGGCCACCGGTGGGTGGCTGGGCGGGGGGCACTCCCTTACCCTGCTGGTCCATGTAGATGGGGACCCCGCCCAGGGATGCCACCGAGTCCACCAGCAGCAGGCACTGGTACCTGGGGGGAGGGGCAGCAGAGAGCAGGAGGGGCGTCAGACTCTGCCCCGGGGTGGGGTTTCTGGAGGGGCCTTAAGAGCCTTTAGAAGGGCCACCGGGGAAGCAGGGGAGCCTCCCACCTCCCACAGGTGCCTCCTCCGGGGCTCTCAGCCCCCCGGGACCAGCTCTGTGTCTGAACCTGGGTGAGCCCCCGGCACAGCGAGCGTCACCCTGGGGGCCCCAGGTGGCCGGACCCAGGTACTCGTGAGGCCAGCCAGGCAGTCTGTGTCCTGGGGGCTGGCTGGGTGCTCTGACTGCTCAGGCCCAAGGGCCGTGTGGGGTCCAGGGACCAGCCTAGCACAAGGCTGCATCTCTTCTGCTGACAGTCCACAGGGCAGAAGTCCAGAGCTTGGGGAGGACAGAGTCCAGAAACAGCCTGAACTGAAACCTCTGACTTTCCTCCACCTCCACATTTTCTTTAAAAAACGCACAAAGAGTATTCCACGCGGACCTATGGGAGTCATAGCCCAGGTGACATCTGTGAGCTTGATTCACTGGACAAGACTCCAGGCGGCAGGTGGGCCTGGCTGGGCTGTGCCCAGTGGGCCCGAGGCCCCCATGGAGGATGGCAGCCCTGCCGGGGTGACCCTGCCTGTCAGTGGAGCTTCTCTCCTCCCACCCTGTGGTCAGCTGTCCAGAGCACGACTGCTGGTCCTAGGAGGGAATCCCCCCTGACCCCACCCAAGGCCCTGGGCAGCCCGTGCAGGGGTGGGGGAACCTGGCGGAAGGCAGTGGAGGACGGCGCTGCTTTGGGGCTCTGGGACCTCGGGGCAAGGGGGGCAGGCCCTGGCACCAAGGCTGCAGGGTCAGCTTGAGCCCTCCCTAGTCATGGGGCCAGGAGAGCAGTGGCGCTGGGGGGACACCTGACCCTGCTCTCAGATGGGAGGGTCCATCCAGCCTCGGCCCAGAGCCAGGAGGACCCCCGAGGACCTGCACCACCATCACACGGCAGAGGCTGGGGGGACCGGCCAGCAGCCCACCACACTCCCACCCTGTCCTCAGACTGGGTCTGAGCTGTGCTTGGCTCTGCCCCCAGCACTGCCACCCTGGAACAGGCTCCCCCGAGGGACAGGCTTACCTGAGGGGACAGGCTCACCTGTGTGGACAGGCTCACCTGAGGGGACCAACTCACCTGTGGGGACAGGCTCACCTGTGCGGACAGGCTCACCTGAGGGGACAGGCTCACCTGTGCAGACAGGCTCACCTGTGCGGACAGGTTCACCTGAGGGGACAGGCTCACCTGTGCAGACAGGCTCACCTGAGGGGACAGGCTCACCTGTGTGGACAGGCTCACATGTGTGGACACCTGAGGAGACAGGCTCACCTGTGCGGACACCTGAGGGGACAGGCTCACCTGTGCGGACACCTGAGGGGACAGGCTCACCTGCGGGGACAGGCCCACCTGAGGGGACAGGCTCACCTGTGGGGACAGACCCACCTGAGGGGACAGGCTCACCTGTGGCAGAGCTCCCCATAGCCATCGAGGGGCTGCAGCACGCCACTGGATGACTCCCCCTGGGTCAGGAACAGCAGCACAGGCTTGTGCTGGGCCAGGGCCTGAGAGGACAGAGGTCACAGCCATGGGCAGACCCAGTGCAGGGAAGGGGCCTCCGTCTGTCCCCCTCCCCAGGGACAGTGCAGAGCTGGGCAGTGGGAGCTGGACGCCCCTCAACCCCTCCTGCCCCACCAGCTGACCGGCCCCCTCCCCGGGCCGGCGCCCCCCCGTACCTCCTCCACCTCCCGCAGCGTGAAGTGGCCTCCAGGGTCCTTGATCATGGGGTGTACGCGGGCTCCTGGGGGCAGAGTGAGTGGTGAGCAGTCCCCGCACGCTGGGGGGAGCCAGTGCTGGGGACAGAGGCCCGGCTGAGCAGGTGGGTCCTGTGAGGGCCGCCCATGCCTGCCCCCAGCCGCTGCTGGAGGGGGAAGGTGGAGTGTGCTCGGTGAATCCAGGTTCCGGGGTGCCGTGGATGAGAGCGGGTCCCTCAGCTCCACTGTCCCCTCCCCAGCCCACCTTCCCTGGGCCCAGCCAGGCCGGGGCACCCTGGTCCTTTGCAGCCCTCTCCACATGGGAAGTAGGGAAGCATCTGTGCCAGGCTGAGCAGATGGGCGCTTCGCAGCAGAGGGTAGCTGCAGAGGGGCCATGCATTTGGTGGATGACTGGGTGAAGGATTGAGGGGGTGAGGGAGCAGGCTTTGCCCCCTCTGGGGCCTTGGGGCTCCAGGGAGGCAGGCCCTGGCCCTGCTCTGTCTCTTGAAGCCCTGCACCCCCGTGCACAGCAGGCCCCCAGTGTCATATGCAGGAGGCAGGGAGGCCCTAGGACCATCCCAGCCTCAGGGGCCTGAGGTGTGTGGTGGAGGCAGGGGAGGGGCTTGCCCAGGCCAGGAGGGTGGCCGAGGTCCGCTCAGGGTCCCGGACCCTGCCTGACCAGAGCTCCCCTTGAAAACCGGCATGTGCACTGGAGGGGCCCCGGTGAGGGGTCAGGATGCCCTCGGGCTGTCGGGGGTTGTCCATTAACCTGGACCGAGTGTGCCCATGTGCGGAGCTGACCAGGCAGGGGTTCCGTGATGTTTCCAAACCCGCGGTAAATCATTAACCCCGATGCACCCTAGGGCTTTCGACTTCTGTCTCTTCCTTTAGTAAATTTTACTCTGGAAGTGGACACCCTGTCCATACCTCCGTATTTTGCAGCTCTAGAAACAGCTGTTTCTGAGATTTTGAGGGGGGGATGTCAGCTTCTGAAACCTTGTCCTGTGACAGAGTGGAGGTGGCCCCTGGGGACCTGACAGCTGCGGGGATGCTCTGGGTTCGTGCTGAGACCAGAGGAGTCCCTGCAGTGCTGTCCCCACCACGGGCTCCGGAAATAGCTGTTCCCCAAACTCCGGGAGACCAGGGGGATGGGGGCCCCTCGAGCATCCCGACGCCCTCTTGGCGGAGACAGCAGGCTGGCAGGCAGGGGGATGCGTGAAGGGCCTCCAGGGGGGGTAAGTGCTCAGGGCCCGAGGTTGGTACCTGGAGAGGGGGGCTTCCAGGCTTCGTGCTGGAGGAGGGAGGCCTTTGGGGAAGGATGGAGAGAAGGGCCACACCCCACGCCCACACCGTCTCTTACCGATGCGCTCCCCGATGTCCTGGGCCCGCTGCCCCCAGATGCCGTTGACCCCGACCAGGAAGGAGTCCCCCGGCTCCAGGAGGTTGAACAGGGCGGCCTCCAGTGCGCAGTGCCCCGAGCCGCTGATGGCCAGCGTGAGGGGGTTCCGGGTCTGGAACACGTACTGGATGCCTTGCTTGATCTCGTCCATGATCTGGGGGCAGTGGACATGCAGGTCACCGCCTCCCCTACTCCCACCCCAGGGAGGAGGCCACTCAGGGCACTGACCGCTGTGTCTCAGTGGCCTACCTGGAACATCTCCTTGTGCATGTGTCCTATTGTCTGCCTCCCTCCAGCCGCCATGACGCGGGGGGTCAGGTTAGAGGGGCCGGGCCCCAGCAGAAGCCGGCTGGGGAGGGACAGGGGCTTACTCAGGGCTTCTGGGGGGGCCACCAGCAGTGGGTGGGAGGCCATGGTCCTCACCCAACCTGCCGCCTTGTGCCCCAGGGCCGCACTGGCCACGGTCAGTGCCCGGAGCATTTCCCAGCAGGCCCTGCACTGGACGATGGACACCGGAGGACACGGGGGCGTCCAGGAGGTGAGCCTGGTTGACGGGTTTCTGCTCCACCTGCTGTCTTTTGCTGTGTGTCGTTGTTACCAGGCCGTTATCAATGCTTGTCCTGCACGTGAAGGCTTGGAAGCAGGGGTGTTGAACCCTCGGTGGGAGAGGAGGAGCCAACAAAGTCCAGTCAGTGAAAAACAGATCTTGGCAAGCTGCCCTCTGCCCTCCAGCTGCCCCTCCCTCTCTGTCCCCGAAGGATGCCCAGCCTGGTACGCCTGGCTGGGCTCAGGGGGCCCCAGCGTTTTTCTTATGTGACCAGCGCGCCAACATTTCAGACTTGGCAGACCTACAGGCTGTGTTAAAACTACTCAGCCCTGCTGTGGTGGTGAGAAGGCGGTTACAAGGGTGTGGCTGTGTGCTAACAAAACTTTATTTACAAAAGAAGCGGTGGGCCAGATTTGGCCCAGGGCCACAGTTTGCTGATTCTGGCTTAGCTCCCAGAAAGACTCACTTCAGAAAATATATGCTCCACGTGTATAAACACACATATGTACACACTGAGGACATGTCCATTCTTGATCCTTTCGGAGTATTTCCTCTGCCCGTCTACACCTGAGGGCCCCGATGATTGGTCTCCACACACGTAACCAAGGGGTGCTCACTGGGGAGCCTCCGCAGCTTCTGAGTCAGCACGTGGGTCGAATAAATGCGACCAAGACTCCCTGCAGGAGGAGCCAGGCCCAGCCCAGGGCGGCAGCCCAGCAGAGCCGCTGGCGTCCTGGGACATCGAAGGAGCCCTGCGTTGTGGGTGACCAGGCCGGGGAGGCACTGGACCGGATGCTCTCTGAGTAGCTCTTGCTTCTGACAGCTCTCAAGGGGCCGGGTTGGAGCTTGCCAGCACTTCCCGTTTTGTGTTTAGGGATCTGACGCCTGGGCCTCAGTAACCAGGGGGGCGTCCGGGCTTCCACGGAGCCCCCGTGGTCGACAAGTGACTGCACATGACCTTCCCCCATGGGGACTTGCCCTCAGCTCAGCAGAGCCCTGCATTCAGCACTCGTTGCTTGGGCTGGGTTCGTCTGGCATCCTGGGGTGGCAGGGACTCCACAAGCTTTAGCCAGGATGGACGGGCATGGCCTGAGCACCTGGAGACCCTCACAGCCCTGCTGGGTCAGGGCGCCCTGTCCATCTGGGAGGAACAGGCAAAGGGGACAGGCCCCGAGTGGTGGGCAGAAAGAAACTCAGGGAAGGGGGGCCAGACATGTCCCTGTTGGCCCAGGGCAGGCCTGCCATGCCACCGCTAGCCTGGCCCTGTCCTGCACAGGGAGGCCCAGCGGGCGCCCCCTCCCTCGCTCCTTCCTTCCCTTCTTTCCCCACTGCCCCGACATCTTCCTTACCAAGCGATCCCTCTGGGCCAGGACCCAGTCTGGCAGCTCCAGCTGATGCAGTGTCAGCTAGAAGAGAAGCAGAGGCCCCTACCGGCGGCCGGCGGGTGGGGCAGAGGACCTGGGGTCTGCGACAGCCTCCTGGGAGCTGAGAGGAGACGCCTGAAGGGCCTGAGCGCCTGGAGGAGGGGACAACCCCGGGGGGCTGCTGGGCAAAGTCCGTGGGGGCTTCGGAGCTGGGCCTTGGAGAAGGGAGAGGCAGGCCCACCCCAGGGTGGGAGGGGTGGTGAGGGCCTGCTAGGCAGAAGGAGCTGCAGGGACCTGGGCACAGAGGTGGAGGCCTGTGTGAGGGGGGCCCGTGCAGACCCCTGCTGGGGCCAGCAGCCTCAGGTCTGGCCCGGCCATGGTGGCTGGGGCCCGGTACTGGCCTGGTAACACCTGTGCGGCACTGGGCCTCTGGAGTCACAGGTGTGTCAGCCCTGCCCAGCCCTGGTGCTGACCTGCCACAGCTGAGGAACCTTCTCCTGCTGGGGGGGGGTGCCAGCCCCACAGCTGTGCCCACCCTGGGGGTCCCCTGCCTGCTGGCAGCGGGGGGACCACCCGGTCCGCAGGACAGACCCCTCGACTCTGCTCCTGCCCTGGCCACCTTGTCTGCAGCCACACGGTCCCTGGGCTCCTTCCCTCAGTCCCTGAGCCCAGAGTCCTGCTCAGCCCGCCCTCCGCCCACCTGAGAGCTGCACCACCTGGACCAGTGCATCATCGGGGCCTCCCGCCAGGTACACTGCTGCCTTCGCTCCAGTCTAACAAATGTCTCTGTGCCTTTGCACGTGCTCTTCCCTCTGCCTGGAAGGCTTGTCCCTTTCTTTGCTCAGCCCCTCTGGCTCTTTTCTCAGAGCTGTGGCCAAGCCTCCTGTCCAGGGAGCCATCCTGTCTGGAGTTCCTCAGACGTCCTTCCGCCACGCCACAGGCTGCATGGGCCGCCCTGTCTGTTTAGGCCTCGGGCAGGACCCCACTTCGTGCAGCCCTGAGGGGTGCCCAGCGTGGCACATCAGGGCAGGAGAAGTCTGGGCCTGGGGTTGGCTGACCCGGCCTGGCCGGTGGACGGGTGGGGGCAGCCCAGGGAAACGAGGGAGGTGTGTGTTCTTTGTTCCAAAACAGGAAGATGTCCTGTGTCAACGTAACCGGGAGGGGAGTGTTGCAATCTGGAGAGGCGTCTCCTCAGTCCGAGAGCAGATTGGGAGCCGCGAGCCATTGACGCCAGTGAGCAGCGCGGCAGGTAACCGACCTCTGTCTCCCGGAGCCCTGGAGACAAGGGCCACCTGGCCAGGTGGGCTAGGCAGTTCCTGGTCTTGAGGCCAAGGTCAGCACAGCGTCGCCCGGAAGCTGCGTCTTGTAGCTCCGGAAGGACCAGCCGGCTCACCCGGGGCCACCCTGCGGGGCCTTGAACCAGCAGCCGTGGGGGCCTGGGAATGAAGTGCAGACCAGCTCCTGGTGCCTGCCCGCGGCGGGCTTCCTGGGTCCAGCTGCCCGTAGACCCAGGAGTGCCTTAGTCTCCCAGTCAGTGGTGGAACCCACGGGCTGATGCCTGCCACACACTGAGCCTGGTTTTGAAATTTCACTTCTGGTTTCCCACAGTTGACGTGAAAAGCACAAACGACTGCTTTTGCCTGAGGGTCTGCAACCTGCCGCACCCCAGAGGCGTGTCGTGAAGGCAGGTGGTGCCGCCTGTCCCCTTGGCCCTCCGGGCAGACAGTGACCTTGTGTGCCGGTACCGACGGGCTTCTCGTCCTATCTACCAGCTGGGAGTCTCCACGGATGCTCTATTTCAAACCTACGGCTAAAGCCAGCCTGTCCTGACATCCTGGGCCAGAGGAGGCCGTCAGAGGCCCACTGCTCCCATTTTCACAGACAGCCCGCCAGGTCCCAGACGGCCTGAAACCTGCAGCCTCGGCCAGAGCGGCAGGACCCCCAGGGCTGCCTGGTGGGAAATGCAGCTTTGCCTCCGGGTGTCCGGCCCAAGGCGCCATGGCCAGGTCCCCACCTGAGTGGTAGGGGTGGGTCTCTGCTGGGAGAAGGTCAGTGGGAGCCTGTCCCAGCGAGCAGCCCCTGCTGAGGCATCACGTGCCTGGGTATTTGTTTAGTGGTGCCCTGGCAGGTGCTACAAGGGCCAGGCCCTGGACACCATCGATTAACTGCTGTTCCCCCACCCACCCCCGGCCCAGCACAATGCTGCTTCCTTGTGGTCAGGGTGCCCTGGGTGAGGACACCAGGTCGTGGTGTGGAAGCCTGCGCCTGTGGCGAGGGGCCAGGAGCCCAGGTCTGCCTTGGAGAATCAGGACTGAGCAGTGTCAGGGCGCTGCCACAGGTATGGCTCACGTGCTTCAGCTCCACTGCGATGAGGGTGGACGGGCGACTTGCGGCAGCAAGTCACCCCCGTTCTCCAGGCGCTGAGCAGGCAGACGAGCCCCTGGCCACGTGGTGACGAATGACACGTCGACCACAGCAGCAGAGCACCGTCGCAGAAAAACCAAGTGCTCCTGGGGCTCTCGAGTGTCCGCTCTGTGTGCTGTGATTCTCAGGGCCTCATGGGGGGCTCGGCCCCTTTCCCATATGGGTCCCTGTGTCCTTCATAATGTGACAGTCGTGACAAACCAGAGAGGACCCCGGAGCCTTGCGCCTGCCCCGTGAGGTGGGAGCTTTGGCCAGGCTGCCTCCCACGTGCCCTCTGGCTCCCATGGCCAGTGCCCCAGAGGGACGGCTGGGTACCAGCCTGCTGAGTTTACTAAGAAGTAAAGAGATACTTTTGAGTATTTCCCACTGACGTTTGGACTTAAAACATTGCTTTTTTAAAATTAATTTATTTGTTATTTATTTATATATATTTTTAAAACATTGCTCTTAACACAGCAGAACCAGGGTCTAGGATCGCCCAGGGTGCCCCACCCTCTCACACCCCAAAACCCAGGAAGTAGCTATTTGTATGTCCCGCCTACAGAGCTAAGGAGATGACACACACTGGCCTCACAAACATCACAGAAGTCAGTCCAGGCTTTGCTGTCAGTCGGAGGATACATTTAGCATCAACTTTAACGTCAGTTTAAAATCCAACATGAGATGAGGGTCGTCGAAACCCAGGGCACGAGAGTTTGCGGGAAAGTTTGGCGAGACTCAGGCCGGACTGGACGCGCATGCCTGGAGCTTCCTCCCGGGAATCGCCGCGGTGCAGGCACTGAACCCTCTCTGACTGTTTTCCTATTAACGGGAAGCTGCAGTTTAGCTGCAAGGCAAGGTGAAAGGTCGCCCCGCCCTTCGTGTTTGGGATCCCACGGACCCGGTACGTTCTGCTGTCAGGGACTGCACGGCCTGTCCTGTCTGGCTGGTCCTGCGGAGGCTGTGAGTACAGGTCCCCGGTGGGGAGGGAGCTGGCCCAGGGCCCGCAGCTGGATGGGCTGGACCAACACCTTTGCTGGCGCACCCCGACCCGGGCCCTGCGCTTGTCTGAGCCCTGCCCCCGCTGCTGCCCCCATTGCCCACACCCGCATCTCTCTGTGCCTCCAGGGCTGCACACGGGCTGAGGGCACTCTGCCTGCCGAGGTCTGGGAAGCAAAGGGGTGTC